AACACAGCCTGGACATTAGCCACTGTTTTTAAGTTATTAGCAATTTCAGCTCTGGTTTGCTTCACTCGTTTTAATAATATTGTGTGATTATTTATGATTTTCATGTTTTTGCCGCCTGCAGGGCTTAGAAGCCCCAGTGTACATCAAAATGTGTGCAGCGTGTGACCCTAATGAACAAACAATCTAACATGAAACACATGAGTTCAAATACAAATTATCTATTATCCGTTTTAATTGTTAATTATAATTATTCTCTATGACCTTTTGCTGGTGTATGTTGGTCCTAGATGTAAGCTACAGTGGGGCCAAAAAAGTATTTAGTCAGCCCCCCCGCAAGACAATAGATGCCTGTAATGTTAATCATGGAAAACCCTCATGAGAGCCAAAAATACACAAAATCATTTTTTAAGACTTTATTTGCCATTTATGTTGAAAATAAGTATTTAGTTGAGAACAAGGCCTTCCCATGACCTTGAAGCCACTCCTTTGTTGCCTGAGTAGTACTTATGGAATGCAGTGTCAGATGTGTCCCCCTGCTTAAGCCAGTACAGGCCCAGACCCGTCTGAAGTTTGCTACACCGTTAAAAAAAATATATTAATAACACGTTGATTTTACGGTAAAATTCAGGGACAACTTTTGTTTCCAGAACCTGGGAGGACATGGTCAGTCTGATAGACCTGAGAGGACATGGTCAGTCTGATAGACCTGAGAGGACATGGTCAGTCTGATAGACCTGAGAGGACATGGTCTGTCTGATAGACCTGAGAGGACATGGTCAGTCTGATAGACCTGAGAGGACATGGTCAGTCTGATAGACCTGAGAGGACATGGTCAGTCTGATAGACCTGAGAGGACATGGTCAGTCTGATAGACCTGAGAGGACATGGTCAGTCTGATAGACCTGAGAGGACATGGTCAGTCTGATAGACCTGAGAGGACATGGTCAGTCTGATAGACCTGAGAGGACATGGTCTGTCTGATAGACCTGAGAGGACATGGTCAGTCTGATAGACCTGAGAGGACATGGTCAGTCTGATAGACCTGAGAGGACATGGTCAGTCTGATAGACCTGAGAGGACATGGTCTGTCTGATAGACCTGAGAGGACATAGTCAGTCTGATAGACCTGAGAGGACATGGTCAGTCTGATAGACCTGAGAAGACATGGTGAGTCTGATAGACCTGAGAGGACATGGTCAGTCTGATAGACCTGAGAGGACATGGTCAGTCTGATAGACCTGAGAGGACATGGTCAGTCTGATAGACCTGAGAGGACATGGTCAGTCTGATAGACCAAGGGCTGGACTGGGACAAAAAAACGGCCCGGGCATTTTTTCCTTCTTACCGGCCCAGGCATGTTTTTGTCACTTTTTTACAGTTTGTTTATACCAGGGATCGGCAACTCAAAAGGTTCAAAGAGCCATATTTGACCAAATAACTAAAAACATATGTCTGGAGCCGCAAAAAAATAACAGCCTTGTATAGGGCTTATATGAAGGTTTCACAATGTAGCTACATTAGCTACATTAGCCTATTATCTAAATGACCAAGTAAAGGCTACAAATACATGATTAGCATTCATGATTATCAAATATGTGTTTTCACTGCAGCGTGTCCTGGAGAGAATGACGCACCACGTGATGACTCTGCTTTAACTTTGACTTCCATTTTTTTGCCTTCATGCAACTGTAGAAATACAGTAAATAAATCTGCTTTTTGGCTCAAAGGTCACACACCTGCACTGTCCGCTCATATCGATCACGTCACAGGCTGAAGTTTGCTGGAGCTGAATGTCCTTTTCTTTCACAGTCTTTGCGGAGGTTTTTGAAGTCTGAAAAAAGTGCTCCGGATTTTGTATGAAAGAATCCTTCACGTAATCCCTGTGAACGGTATTTAGTGCTTCATTGTTCCTCGTGTTGCAACAAAACTTCCTATTACATTGCAAACATGAAGCAGTCCTTCCTCATTGACTGAAAGCAAATGTTCAGTCTTGTCCTTAGTCCAGTCTTATTATCGACTCAGCAGCGGCCGCCTGGCGCGGGGCCGCGCCACAGGATATGACTCACTACGTTGACAGAAATGTTGAAATTGAATATTACTTATACACATTTTTACAGCATTGAAATACGTTAGGAATGTTTTTCCTCCTACAGAAACCACATACAAACTAGGAATAAAATATAGCCCTCCCACTCCATTTTCAGACATTTTTGAAAAGGCTCCAGGAGCCACTGGAGGAGCACTAAAGGTTGCCGACCCCTGGTTTATACAGTATGTGGAAGCAAATACTGTAGAGGATCAGGATGTCTGTGGTTTCAACAAAAAAATAAAGTGCAATAGTTTACATTACAAGAGAGTAATAAACATGTCTCAGAGTGAGGGAGGTGGACACAGACAATACTATTGTTTGTTACAGGGATGAGAATTGGTCAAAAAAGTCTGAAATGCATATTGTCAGCCATTTGCTGGCTCTAAATCTGTTTAATCTGTTCACAACATTTTACTTTTGGGCTCAAACATGAACTTTTAATGCAATGGAAAATTTAGGTACCCGGGCTTTAATTTAGTCGCACTTCGAGAGGAGAGGGGAGACGCGGACTTTTTCCTGCAGCGGTGTATTTATTGGGTGCACAAATTACGCAAAGACACGCATGGTCCTGTGCGCGTTTATGGTCTTGGGTACATGGTCACGTTGCGGCTACGCTCACCGTGTTGTGTTGTGAGCGGTTCCCGGTGAGCGGTTCCTGCGTCCAGCTCAGAGCCGCTGGATGCGGGAACACTGCGGCCGCTGAGGTGGTGGAATCCCGTTCGAGTACATGCAGCAGGTGCCCCGCGGACACGCGCGCTCCCTCGAACAGTTCTCAACGGATTTACACTTTTCACAAACATTTTTTTTTGTATGAGGCAAACAGACCGGCCCAAATATGGGCATCGGCCCTTCGGGCATTGCCCGGTACGCCCGATGGCCAGTCCAGCCCTGGATAGACCTGAGAGGACATGGTCAGTCTGATAGACCTGAGAGGACATAGTCAGTCTGATAGACCTGAGAGGACATGGTCAGTCTGATAGACCTGAGAGGACATGGTCAGTCTGATAGACCTGAGAGGACATGGTCAGTCTGATAGACCTGAGAGGACATAGTCAGTCTGATAGACCTGAGAGGACATGGTCAGTCTGATAGACCTGAGAGGACATGGTCAGTCTGATAGACCTGAGAGGACATGGTCTCTGTTGATGTGGTTGTGCACCGCTTCTTCAGTTCAATAGCCTCCCGTATCCATCCTTTGTAACTGTCTTCATGTGTTCATGATATGATTTTCCTTTTTACAATGGTAAAATATTGCAGGTATTAGCTTTTGTGTTACACATGTGGACACATAGAACCTGCTGCTCATTTCTGTGAAGCACCAAATGCACATTCTGATAGGAACCTCATCAGGTATGTTATTCAAGCAGCAGATAAAGTAAAGTTTATTGTCAGTGGCCTCCCTGTGAAAGCTCATTGCACAGTTTAGCATTACCCCTGATTACTACAGATTAATGTGCAGGGTCAGCAGAACTTCTCCTTCACACACAGGGTGGATCAGTCTGTCACCTATGCTGCTCTTGAGAGCAGAAAGATGGTGATAGTCTTGCACCATTGCACCGTCTTGGCTCATTCCAAAGGTCCCCCAGGTGCCTCAATGTCAAATAGCACTTTACAATTACATTATATTTCGACCAAAACACCAAAACATAGATGATTTAAGTTGCAAAAAGCAGTGCAGTGCAAATGCTTCAAAGCAATCACTTCAATTTGTCAGGTGGAAAGCCATTTTTCTTTCACATTTTGGGGGTAATTTCTTTTGAATTCATATGTAGCAAACTCCAAATTTGTTTTTCCTAGTTTCCCCCATGTGTCAGGAGCCAACATACGAAATGTTAAGTTGTTAAGTTTCAGCACCTTCACAGTTGGGAGTAGGTCCTACCAACTCGTTATAGCCCAAAGATTAAGACAACATGAAATAATAGTGAAAACATGTTACATGGAGGGGCCTGGCTCCCGGACTATCATACTATGATCATTTCATGTTCATTTTACAGTATTCTTTTTACAGTGTAGAGCATTTGGATGATCCAGAAGATGATTGGGAGAATTAAACCAAAATAGTTTTTTTTTTTGTACAAACTTTGAAGGAGAATGAAGAGTTGCACCCAAAGAACACCATACTTGGTGGAACATGTAAATTTTATTAAACCCTGTGGTTTCCATCACTGAGCCTCAAGTCTTTGGTCCAGTCCTGGGTCAATCCAAGCATCCGGTCTCATTTTGTCCATATAATTAAAACATAGAATCCATATTTTTATTTAACAAAAGTCATTAATTATAAAAAGTCACAAGCCTATAGCCACAGCTTCACTCAGACTCACTCTTCAGACCAGTCTGGGTTTGAGACCTGATTTAGACTCTGCACAGAGTGTCACAAGTCTCTGTCTGTGCTGAAGTTTTAGTCATGTTCATGTGTCAGTCTCACATTAAAGTTGATTTACAGAAGAAACAGGAATCTTGAAGCATATTCTAACCCTGTAGATTTGCTCATTCCCCTGGTGACATGTGTGTCTTGTTTTGAACTGTTTGATACCCCAGATTTAACTTTCTTTGTGACGCATTGGACTCTCGGTGGGATGAAGAAGACAAAAATCAGCACTGCAGACGCTTTTATTTTTATTTGTGCTAAAATAAATTATTGCATAGGATTAATTTGTCCGCTTTAATAAAATGAATCAAGAAGAGCACTTCCGTAACAAAAACACCTGTCATTAAACTGAACTGTCATTTTAAAGGCTCTATAGGTTTGTAAAGGGTCCAGGCGAAGGCACGTTAAGGGCGGTCCGCCACATCCACATCTGAACCAATTTCCTCCTCCTTGGTTTGGTTCTTCTGGGACATGAAAAACCCCAAAGAGCGAGTGCAAGTTGGCACATGGTTGCGCACCGTTACGCACAGTTACGCACAAAGTTTACTCTGTCATGACTGAGGAGCGCGCGCACACCAGCCCGGGGTTATGCGTCACGTTCCACATACGGAGCAGCTCTTGTGCGCTCAGCTTGTGCACCACGATGAGCTGCGTGTAGAAACACGGTTCACGGTTCATTGGGCTGAATCTGCGCCGCGTGACCCCGAACGTTCTGAAGGCTGCGTGGGCCTCCGGGGCCGTGCCCAGCCTCTGCAGACACATGCCCAGAAACACATCATCTATCGGGAACAGGGGTACGGCGTCCGACGCCCGGAGCAGCAGGTGAGCCAGGGGCCCGGACATGAGGAAGCCCCCTCCGCCCGCGTACGGGGGGTACGGGCCCGCGTGCAGCTCTTTGGGGATGAAGTATTTACTCTGACGGTTCCGGATCGGAGCCGCTCTGGAGATGACGTCACCCACAAACAGACGCTCGTGCCGCCGCTCCTCTGTGCGGTAGCGCACGAGCTGCAACAGGTTGCGCGTGTTCACGTACACGTCATCGTCCCCTTTGAAGATGAAGTGCGCGCTTGGACAGTACGTGTGGAACCACTGGAGGAAGTTGAGCTCTTTGAGGGTCAGGTTGTAGAACGTGTCCATGAAGTCCCACTGCAGGATGTCCCCGTGCACGCGGTCCTCGTAGAGCAGCAGCTGCTGCAGGTTCCGGGCGTCTTTCCCGGTGGACGCGGTCCCGAGGAGGAACACGGTGCGCACGCTCCCAGAGTCTGTCTCGTGCTCGCGGCCCCACGTCTGGCGGACCGCCTCCCTGCGCTCGTGCTGCTCGATCACAGACTTGACCACGATGAGCACGTGCACGGGCCCGCGTGCGCACTTCTCCGGGTGGTTGATGCGGAGCGGGAAGAAGCGGCAGTGCCTCCGCAGAACGAACTGATGGAAGCGCGCGTCCAGGCGGCGGAACCAAGCGTGCGCGTGTACGGACGCGTTCTCAGTGCACGTAACCACTCGCGTGTCTCGTAGATCTGCGGGGTCCCGTAGAGCCGTGGTGTTCGGAAGAGCCACGAAGTTCCGAAGAGCCGCGGTGGTGCTCGGTGCGTCCTTCTCCACCGTTAACCTGAGCCGGTGCAGCATGAGGACAGACGCACAGATCAGGGTCAGACTGACCACCGGCTTCAGGGCTCCCCAGAGGAGCCTCCTCCTCCGAACCCACGGAGTCATGGCTCTGCTCCTGCATCAGCGGGAGATCCTCCCGGTGCGCGGTGCAGAGTGAGGAGTGAGGAGAGGAGCGAGGAGAGGAGCGAGAGAGCAGAGGTAGAGGCTGGCCTTTTCCTAGAGGGGGAGGAGCCCCACCCTCTTGACAGCTTCTACAGCCACTTGAATATTAATCCTCCATATAACTTTTCCCAAATTTTAGGAATGAACTGCCCTCTCCACTTTTTGAATAAAACTCTCTGGTCTTATTTAACGAGCACGTATCATCAGAATGATTGACTATTAGGAAGACCAATAATCTTGATGGTCCACCCGGAAGTAGAAAATCCTTCTAGATACCTTTAAACACATATTTAATGTAGTTTGTATTTGCATTTCTTTCTCGAAACCTGCTCAATGATGTGAGCAGCAGAAAGAGTCTTGGTCAAGGACAAAAGGTGCATCCTGAAGTATTTAATACATCACTCGTGTGTTCATTCATTGCGTTTTATGTTGAAATCTCCACAGCGAAGCAGACCCACAGGTCCTGGGTCATTGTTTATGGACATTGGCCTCATGTATTCTGAGACATTCTGGTACATCTTTTCTCTCATTTCTCCATGTTCCAACACTGCCCTCATCAGTTAGACCTGGAGCATTGTTCAGCTTATATTTGGAAAATCTTGTGGCAGAATATTGAAAGTGCAGCAGTCCTTGTGTTTCATACTGACGGTCACAAAAACAGGGAACAAGGCTAAACACTTTGATGGTGAGCCTTTTTCACGGCTGCACTCATTTCATTAGATTTGGCTGAACTTGTGAAAAATGTTGGGTGTGCGGACCAGGAGACAAGTGACACCACTTTCAGAAATGTGCACTGCTGGTTTCCCAAGCCATGTGGTGATGTCACCTCTTGACAGTAAAAGCCATGTGATGAACGAACAGCAGGGATTCAACATGATCATTGTTTAGTTAGTTTTATGAAAATAAATAAAAATCTAAATAATATATAATTTCACAAACATAAACAGTACAAAGGACCACTTTTTTGCACCCTCAGGGTAAATCTGAAACAACACAATATGTGCCTTTTAATATGAGTAAAACATAATTATCTCATTATTCCACTAAACTACAGAACAGTGACCACTGCTCCTCAGCTCTTTAATAAACTCCCAATGCTCCGTGGTGCGCTCTGGTGGTGCACTCCGACACAAATGTCCAGAATTCACAAAATATCACTTATTACATCATAATACACTATGTACACTGCAGTGGAAATATTTACATTTAGCGTCTGTTCATAAAATTATTTTATAACAAATATTTGCACTGTCATAGACATGTTCCTTCAGTAGAAATACACACAAGTGCCAAGACAAGCGCACACCGACATGTTTATGACCACAGGGATTTAGTTTGATTTTGGAAAGACCACAACAAAGTAACGGCTACAGACGTCAAATTACTGCTCTTTTGTGCTGGCCTCAGAGCTTTGAAAAGAGAAGTCACTAACGGGAAACACATCCAACACAAAGAAAATACTCTGGTCATATGATTAAAAAGATGGAACTTTTTGACCTAAATGTACAATGTTACGTAGTGGAAGACTAACACTCATTACTCATTACCTCATTTCTCTTCAGCAGGGACTGAAGTTGGTGAGAAGGTTAATGGTGCAAAACACAGGACATTATTGGACAGAAAACTGCTGAAATCAGATGGAGGCTGAAGTGGGTGCCCTACATCAGGACTTTTAGAACTGATCTGTTTTAGAACAGATCAGAAGTCCAGACGAGAATCTAAGCGACAGTTGTTCATGAAGCAGAATACTGACCTCACATCTCATCACTTTGTTTACACTTCACACTGGTCTGTTGCTTAGTTGTGGCCAGAAAATCAAATATTAAAGTTTGTGATCATAAAATAGTGAAGTTGTACTGGCACTGGTCAGGAGTCCGGCTGGAAGAAGTCCTGTGGTCAGGAGTCCGGCTGGAGGCAGTCCTGTGGTCAGGAGTCCGGCTGGAGGCAGTCCTGTGGTCAGGAGTCCGGCTGGAGGCAGTCCTGTGGTCAGGAGTCCGGCTGGAAGAAGTCCTGTGGTCAGGAGTCCGGCTTGAAGAAGTCCTGTGGTCAGGAGTCCGGCTGGAGGCAGTCCTGTGGTCAGGAGTCCGGCTGGAAGAAGTCCTGTGGTCAGGAGTCCGGCTGGAAGAAGTCCTGTGGTCAGGAGTCCGGCTTGAAGAAGTCCTGTGGTCAGGAGTCCGGCTTGAAGAAGTCCTGTGGTCAGGAGTCCGGCTGGAGGCAGTCCTGTGGTCAGGAGTCCGGCTGGAAGAAGTCCTGTGGTCAGGAGTCCAGCTGGAGGCAGTCCTCGTTCTCAGAAGGGGGCAGCATCAGCTGCTGCTCGTAGTACAGGCTCTTGGCGTAGTTCACTTCTTGGGAGATCTTGATGGCCAGAGTTTCGCACTTGACGTGGACCTGTGAACACAGAGCAGGTTAGTGTCTGGGTCGCTCTCCTGCAGACCGTGGAGCTCGTACCATGGGCTTCTGGTGGGAGGGGCCGGGAATCGCCACGCCGCTGCCGCTGCTTTCCGCCTTCTTGGTGAGCTGCACATAGATCTTGCCGTGGTCCTTGGACACGAGGCAGTGGTACAGGTCATCATACTTCACGTCCAGGAAGATGGCCTCTCTGTCCACGTAGTCCCCCGGCTTGAGGAAGTAGACCACCTTAGAGGAGATGAGCACGCAGTAGCTGTCGATGGGCTCCACGGCAATGAAGCTGTGAGGAGAAGGTCAGAGAGAGAGTCAGAGAGAGAGTCAGAGAGAGAGTCAGAGAGAGAGTCAGAGAGAGAGTCAGAGAGTGGGTCAGAGAGGGTCGCACTCTACTCCAGTTAACAACATGTTTAAGTGAATAGCACAGAGACAACACAGGGCAGTTTAATAGGTCTAAAGCTTAGCGTACATCGGACTGGCAACTGATCATATCCGTCGCCTATGAGTTGCTGCCCCGCACACATTGACAATCTGACGAAAACGGGCAACTCCCAGTATCAGACCAGTCTCGGGAATAACAGCGCGTACATCGACAGCAACTGGCCTCAACTACAGTGTGTTTTCTGACATAAACTGTTGCGGGCTCGCAATACACGCAATACACACACGTTGTCGGAGCAGCGCATGGAGCGTGCACATCGGGTCATATCTCCGAAACTGAGTACAACTAGTTGCCGAAAAGTAGAACACGGGCAACTGACTGAAACTGGAGATCGACTGTTCATCTCCAGTTGTAAGAGCGCGCACATCGACCGATTTCGGCAACTGATCATCTCCCACCATCTCCTCTCAGTTGCCAAAAGCCGCCTTGCAACTAGTTGTCTCCAGTTTCTCTGTCGATGTACGCTAGGCTTAAGGTGGAAGCCGCAGCACAGGATGTGATCGCTCTAAAGACAGAATTAAGTCATTGTCTTTTCACTTATTTACTTCAAGGACATTTATGTATATTCATTAACTTTTGTCATTTGCCTGTGTTTTAACAATTTAAGTCTGTGTTGGCGACTATGTTTCTCAGCCTGGATGAGCCGGAGATGTGTGGGGATAGGGGAGTGGGGTCTCTGCTTAGACTGCTGCACCTGTGACCCGGCAACAGATAAAGCGGAAGAAAATGTATGGAGGGATGGATGTGTGATAGCGAATTGACAACTTTACAAAGATAAGTTCTGTTGTGATAAGGGCAAAGTCCATATAATTGAATTAAGACTGACTTACACAAACACACACACACACAGGCACACACACACACACACACACACAGACAGACACACAGACACACAGAACAGCCTCATGGGAGCAGACACGTACAACTCAGTGTGGATGTTGTCTGTGAGCTGGAAGAGCTGCTCCTGGCCCTCTGCCTGGGTAGAGGAGTAGCGAGGCAGCAGACCCTGGGGGCCCTTACAGCAGCGAGGCTTCCGGACACGCTGCACATTGAGCCTGGAACACAAAACATGTCACACACTCGGCAACAACCTGTTCCAGCAGCACAACACGTGAGACTAACAGAGATTAGGGCAGTCTTGTTATTTTGGTTTCACAGTGGGCTCATATTTCAGTGAAACATTCCACTTCATAATGTGTCCACTGCTCGGCGCTCAGTGGTCAGCGCTCATTTCAAATGGTTTTGCCAGAAATACACACACACACACACACACACACACACACACACACACACACACACACACACACACACACACACACACACACACACACACACACACACACACACACACACACACACACACACACACACACACACACACACACACACACACACACACACACACACACACACACACCTGTGATTGCTGAGGCTGGCCATATCCCGGACCGTCTGTGCCGTCTCTGAGGCGAAGTCCAGCGCTCCAGCCACAGGCTTGGTCACCGTGCCAACCAGGCCCTTCCCCAGGCCAGAGAAGAAGCCGCCGACGCCCCCCTCCGTCTTCACCCCCTCCACTGTGGACGTGATGATGCTCGTCATGCCCCCGATGATCCCTGCACACAAGGACAGGGTGACCACACGTCCACAGTCGCCCAGGACCCAGTGTTTACAGCGGGTCCTAGAACTCATCACCCACATGTTAAATGTTAATGTTATATATGCAGAGAACATGCTGGGGGATTGAGATATCTGGTTTTAAAGTAGAAGAATCTTCTGAAGTTCTAAAGGTGCTCCCTGTGGTGAGCTCTCACAGCTGCTCTGAGATAAGCTCCTGCACAAGAGACAGAAAAAACAGGAAGACCACTTTAACCACAGGAAACACGTTGTTCCCCATTCTTTCATTTTTAATTGAGTGGGTTTAAAAAGGCAGTTAAGATTCTGGAGACTCAGGCTCTGCCAGTTGTGAAAGAACAGAAACAAACGGGAGGGATGTGATTTCATACTCACGATTTCACTGCAAAATAAACCAAATGAAGACAAATTATAATTCTCAATTTAAAATGATAGAGAATTTATGGCACAAAAGCTTTGTGTGCGT